GGGGTGGGGGAGCTGGGAGGGTGAATGAGGTTGGGGGAGTCAAGGCACAGTGGGTGCAGCAGCCAAACTTACCCAGGCAAGCTGCTGACTTCAGGAAGCTGTGGGGCTGGGCCACCGGATTTCCTCTTTTAAAATAATTTATTTTTATTTTATGTGTATGAGTGGTATGCTTCCATATATATGTCACCTGTGTTGTATAATGCCTACAGAGGCCAGAAGAGGGTGTCGGATCCCCTGAAACTGAAGTTACAGATGGTTGTTAGCTGCCATATGGGTGATAGATCAAACCCAGGTCTTCTGCAAGAACAGCCAGTGCTCTTAACTGCTGAGCCGCCTCTCCAGCCCCCACAGCAGTGTAGTTCTTTTTGACTGTTTTGGACTTGTACCTCTACTGGTCTCAAAGTAGAAATATTGAATGATCATCATGAAATTTCATGAGATATTTATAGTATTTAATTATTTTTAGCTAGGTATGATATACATGCCTGCACTTGTGAGGCAGTGGCAGGTTTGTGAGTTTGAGGCCAGTCTTGACTATATGGTGAGTTTTTTTCTCAAAAAAAAAAGACTATTTAATATGGTTATATAATTCAGTCTTTTGATATGCCAAGTGTAAGGAACCTTATGGAGTGGTGATTACTTTTCATAAGCATGATGAAGTATATCCTATTCTCAGGAGAATGGTAGTCTTGTGGTAGGAGAGGCTTTCAGGTTTTGATGTAAAGGGGTCTGGTACAGTGTCTTGTCTTGAGGCAGTGATAGCTGGTGTGGGCACAGCACCATGTAGGCATGGCTTGGGAAGCCTCTGCTTAGAAGTCTCTTAGGTAGGAATTTATAAAGCATGAGAAACTCTTTTCTTTAGTAATTATTATTATTGTTGGAATGTGCATGACTTCTCTTTCCTCTTATCTGTATTGTCTGTTGACATTGGCAGGAACACATAACCCACTGACAATGGAAGTCTTCTTGCTAATATGTCAAAATTTTGCCTTCAGTGTGTATATTCATTCACTCATTTATTTATTTTTGTGTGTGTGTGTGTGTGTGTGTGTGTGTGTGTGTGTGTGTGTGTAGGTCAGAGGAAGACTTTGTGGAGTTGTTCTTTTTTTCTACCTTTACGTGGATTCTGGGAATCAAACTTAGGTCATCAGGCTTCAATGGTGTATTAGTTATTTTTTTGTTGCTGTGATGAATGAAACACCATGATCAAGGTAGCTTGTAGAAGGAAGAGTTTATTTTGCTTATGGTTTCAGAAGGATAAGAGTCCATCATGGTGGGGGAGGCATGATGGCAGAGGCAGCTGGAACAGAAAGCTGAATGTTCACGTCGTTCACATCGCCAAGCAGTAGCAGGAAACAGCAGAGAGCAAAGTGGAGGTGGGATGAGGCCCAGTGGTGTGCGTCCTCCAGCAAGGCTCCACCTCCTAAACCTCTGCAAACAGTGCCACCAACCGATGCCAAATATTCAAACTCTTGGCGGCCCATGGAGTACATTTTCATTCAAATCACCATATGTGGCAAGTGCTTTTATCCACTGATCCATCTTGGTTGCCCTACCTTGATGTCTCCCCACTTTTTAAAAATTTTTAATAACTACATGATTAGAAGAAGCATTTCGGAGGACATCTTTTTCACAAGTGGGTGCAAGTTTCTAGGTTCACAGTTGAATTAATACAGTTATACAATATTGAACTCAGTATAAGCCCTGTAAGACATAAAATTGAATGAGTTTTTAACCTTTAAAACCTTTAAAAAAGATCTCCATTTCATTTTAGAATATATGATTCCTTGCAGAAAGACTCATTGTTTTTGCTACTAACACTGAGATGTTGATGCATACATCTCTAATCTGTATCTATTACTAGTCATAATCAGTTGCACTTGGATCCGTGGTGCCTGTGTATGTCTATAAAGTCATCAGCTAGATTTCAATGGTAATGTTTATCCCCTCTACTAATTAGCATGACATAAATTGCCTGTGTATGTCTATAAATCACCATATGTGGCAAGTGCTTTTATCCACTGAGCCATCTTGCCGGCCCTACCTTGAGGTCCCCCCCCTTTTTTTTAATACCAGTGATTATGATGTTTATTATATAGGCTCTGCTAGATATACTGAACCTAATTTAACTTGAAGAAAAATGGCTGCTTAGATGCCATTTTTAAGTAGCTTAGTTTATCCTGTGATTGCATAGTAATATCTTTTACTGTCCAGTGTATGTTAGGCTGTTTGTCCTTTTGGTAGCTTGCTCCACTTGCTAATGGGGTATGGCAAACAAAAATGAACCAATCACAGTATGCTGTAAACCCAAGTCTTACTTTTGAGTAGTTATTTCTACATGATTCTTTCCCATTGAGCATGTCCTGCTGTCATTGCTTTCTGACGTGCTGCAGTTGTGCCCTGATTGTATCAGCTGTAGCGTTGTAATTAATACCGTGCATCTGGGTAAAACTACACACCTGCTTATTAATACTTACTGGGGATCAATACAGGCAAAATGTAAATGCAGCTTCAAAACATTTTTCTTCATTTCTGATTTCCTTTCTGAGTTTAGGTGTCTAAATGTTGAAATTTCACTGCTCAAGTGAAGGTGAAGTTCTAATTGAAAAACCATTTGGTTTTCAGTTGTTTCATCTATAATATCAATCATCTAGGTTTAGTGATAGTAACTTTAGTTTTCTTTTTAAAGGTGACTGCTTCTACACTCATTGTTTTCTTATTATCATGTTCATATTTGCAGTTTATTAATTCTGTACTTCTCATTTTTAGACTTTTACTGGTTGGTGGATGTGAAACTGCTGAACTGGGAGTGTCAAAAGCTTCTAGCTGTGGCCTTTCTGCATGGAGAGTTCTTTCAGGATCACCTTACTATAAGCAAGTTACTAATGGTGGAGACAGGGTTACTGAGGTAAGCACTAGTTACAGCTTTTACTCTCTAATTAGATAAACTCTCTAAGAATTAACTGAAGAAATTTTGTCTTAAATGAGAAAAGTTAATTAATGCTAGTATAATTTTAGTACTCCTAAATATTAAAGTTAGTAAAATTTTTTGAATTTAACTTGGCTTCATTTTTAGTAATGATATTTTCAGATATTGCATAAACAATCTAAGGCTGGTGAGATGGTTCACTGGGTAAAGTAGTTGCTTTGCAAGAGTGAGTTCCATACCCAGAATCTATGCAAAGATGGAGGGAGAGAAATGACTCTACAAAGTGGTCTTCTGATGTCCACATGTGCTCCATGGCATTCATGACCAGACACACACACACACACACACACACACACACACACACACACGCGCGCGCACACACGCACACACACACTCACTCTCTCACACACATACATACAATAACTAAAAAAAAGAACAACTTAGCTGTAGTACCATTACTTGGATTTGCTTATTTAAACATTAAGGTTTAGTAAGCTATTTTTGCATTGGCAACTATTCTGAATGTTTTTACCATTGCTAGCTCACCTAGCTCTCTTTTCAGGTAGGGAATGTGATTAGCCCAAATCAGTTAATGAGGAAAATGAGCATAATAAATAAGTTGGTCTGGGCCACCTAGCTAGTAAGTGAAGATTTTGAGTACCAGTTCACAGAAGTCCACAGTTTATATTCTTAATTCCCATGGGGTACTTCCACATTTATGTGGACTGTTTATATGTCTCTTCATTCATTTTTGTCATTATTTATTGGACCTCTATGTTGTGACGGATACTCCTTGTATTAGCTTTGTTCACTGTGGCATAATATCTGAGATAAAGAACTTATAAGGAGGAACTATTTATTTGGCTTACAGTTTCAGAGATTTTAGTTGATGGTAGCTTGTTTCTGTTGTGGCGCAGTAGCTTGTGGTGGACTCAGATGATAAGAAGCTGCAGAGGAGATGGAGGGAGGAGGGAGGGAGGGGACTGAGGGAGAAGGGAGGAGAGAGAGAGAGAGAGAGAGAGAGAGAGAGAGAGAGAGAGAGAGAGAATATTTGAGAATGAATGCCTGTCTCTTTAAGGTTATGCTTCTAGTGACCTAGCTTCCTCCTAAAGTGTTACCTTCTAAAGTTTGTACAACCTTCTAATAGCACCACACTGGCAACCAAACTTTAACACATGAACCTTTAGGGGACATCCAGATCAGAATATAGCATCCCTTTAGGCTATAATAGGTACTACAGGCTAGGCTCTATTGTGTAAAATCAGACAACCACATAAATAAGCAAATGAGAAGACCTAAAATTTCTGTGACTGCCACATCAAAATTCATGGCAAAGCCATAGTTGTTTAGACAATGTTGACTCCTTGTCTCTCTTGGGTCAGCTTGTAGTTGATCATTAAAGAATCCGTGGAGGATGACCCCTGAGCTTCTACTATCTGAACTTACGGCTTTAGGAAGAGTAGAGTGGAATAGAGGATGGAACTTTTCACAGAATTCTATCAGAAAATGATATCATTTTTGTTCATTTATTGTGGCCCATCATGGGCCTATTCTAGTTTTAAAGGGTGCTGGAAGTAGTTTTCTGTGTATCCAGAAAGGTGAGAAGAATTAGGTATGGTGAATGGTTATTGTGTTTATCATATTGGCCATCTTAGAGACCAACAAGTATCCTGATTACTTGGATAAATTGTATAAAAGTAATTACATGGTCAAAGTTATGCATCCTGCACTAAACACATTGCCTGTTATGTAGTGAGAAATTATATGTATTTTAAAAATGAGAGATGAAAACAAGAAACTACAGTGAAGCACAGTGTGAGGGGATGTGCTAGGCTGCTTTGATAGAGATTGTGTTTGTCTTATTTTTCTGTTTTTAAAAAACATTTTGTTTTTAATTTATGTGTATGAGTGTATTGCCTACATGTATGTAAGTGCATCCGTGTAGTGCAGTGCCAGTGGAGGTCATTAGAAGGCATTGAATTCCCCTGGAGCTGGAGTTACTGATGGCTGTTAGTTGCCATATTGGTGCTGGGAATTGAACCTGGATCCTCTGCAAGAGCAGCCAGTGCTTTTAACTGCTGAACCATGTCTCCAGCCCCTTGTTATTTTTCTTAAAAGGTATTGATTTAAAGATAATCTCCTAAAGTGATGAATCGCTCGGTGTTGAACTAAAGAGGAAGTGCTTTTGAAAATAAATCTTTAGCAATTTTAGTAGCTTGCTATTATTATTATTTTTAGAATTGGCTTATATTGAGATAGATGATTGTGATTTAACCCAGAAAAGTAATAATTTTTTAAAATGACACCAACTTACTGGCTCTGTGGCACCAAACCTTAATTCAGCTTATATTTTTTAGCTTACATTCCAGAGTACTGTGCTTTGGGTTTTCTCCTTCCATTTTTGATTCATCTACCTATTTTTCCCACCTAGTTTTCTCTTTAGAACCCAGAGAGGAAGTTTATTAACCGCCTTTCACAGACATGGAGCCTAAGGCCCATAGGTGCTTAACAGCTGAACACAGCATAATTGAGGTGTCTGTGACTGAGTGGCCCCAGAAAGGGGAACTCATGGAGTGCTGTTGCACAGTAGCAAACCTTTTCTCCTTAGCTCCCTTTAATTCTCTTGGGCTTCCACTTTGTTCCTTGCTGAACACAGAATTGGAAACCACTCTGCTGTATGTAGTCCTACTGTCTTTGATCTGAGGTTTTGGTATTGGAGTCTTTTAAAAGAAAATTGCTTGTGCATTGACAAAATAAGTGAGGAAAATTATTGAATTGCAAATTGAATGCCCTGCTGTATGATTAACTCCTTGAAATGCTGAAAGTGTATTTTAATTACGTTAGTAGCTTTAACCGTGTCCTGCAGCTAAACCTACAATCATTCTCCATAGCCTTCCCCACTGCAAAGTAATCTGAGGTTATAGGATTAGCTTCTTTTGTCAGGTGGTGAATACTGTTCTTATCGAATGACCTTTTAGTGCTTGTTTAAGGCTGCTGTTGTGTTGGGTAGGTATTGACTGAAAAATGCTGATCATATAGATATTTCAGTCTCCCACAAGGCTATTAGATTATGAAAGAAACTATGCAAAATTCAATATATGCATTGATCAAGGTTTTCAAATTAATGCTATTGTCTGTGTGATATGGCTTTACTTACTCACTCGTTCAACATTGAATCATTGCTCCAAGTGTTAGGAATATAAAGATACTAACATAGCCATCTCCACAAATGAGTACAGTAAACCATAACAGGTAGCGGGTTAAAACTCAGTAAGTGGGACAGAGAATAGACCTGGGCTTTGGAGTCAGAAGATTGTTATTTGAATTCTAGCCCCTCCCTTGCTACTTGTATGTTAAGGCCTTTGCCAGGAGCAAATCATGCTATCTATGTATAAGCACCTGATAAACTCTTAATGTACAGGGTAACTTATTTACTTGGATTTTTAAGGTCAAAATTAAAAAAAAAAGTGTGGAAATGAATGAAAATTGACTGAAGTTTTGTTATTGATACGGCCATGTTTTCAGTGCACATTATTCTTGTGGAAACAATACAGACTTTTTAGGTGTATCATTTCCTTGAGAATCCTTTCTCTGAAAAGTTGGGTATAATTCGAATACTTGTATGGGATTCTATTGCTGCCATGTCTGTGCCTGTGCCTCGGGTCTTCTCTTGCTACTAGAGGCCAGCATCCTCACCCCTGTCTCCACTCTCCTCCCTTCCTACTTCTTTCCTTTTCCTTTTCTCTTTCCTGTGTCTCACTCCATGAGTTGGCCTCGAACTCACCACCTACCATCCTGCCTCATCCTCTCAAGTGCTGAGATGATATACATGTACTAATATGCTCACCTTTAAGTTTTCAATTTCTCTTTCTTTGAACAAACTTTGTGCTAAATTCTCTTCTTAATTATTGGATTTTTAATATAAGGCAGATTTTAAAGTTTTTCTATAATAGTGTTCTACAAACAAGCTCAAATGCTTGTTTAGACATTAGGTTTTATTTAAAGTATTATATGTGTTTCCTTTTGTTTCTGTTTTTTTTTTAACCTTGTTAGTAGAATCTTTTTTATTCAGAAAAAAATAAACCCCCAAACAAAAAAATGTTTTCCAAACACACAGGAGCAGGGTTTGGGTAGGGGGCGGTACCTATCCATCTACCCCATCCCCCAGCCCTGTGGTTTTGGCAGCACAATAAGGGAAGTAGGGTAATGGCTCCTCAAATAAAAGTGGTGTGTGTGTGGAAAGGAGTGGTGCAAAAGCTGAAGGGAGTGGGTGGGGGAAGGATGGAGGAGGTCATCATGGGGAACTCCCTAGGTAGGAGGCATTTCATAACATTTCTTGTTGATCAAACCACCATGGGTACTCTCTTTGCCCATCATGAGGGCTAGCATCTTGGCCGTCATGGCGACAGTGACGTTGAAGGTGGGGTTCCTCTGGTGCTCTTGGTATGACACGCCATAGTAAATTCCCCTTCCTGCGGCTCTGAGTCCTGGGTCACAGAGCATTTCAGGCCCCCAAATGTCAGCCTGTTCATGAAAAAACTTAATAGGTCTTTGCCAGCCAGGATACCAATCTCAGCTGGCCTAATACTAAGGAAGGTTTTCTCAGTGAAGGCGAGTCCTTGTAGCCCACAGTGGCTGTGTGGTGACAGGTTCCCTCCGCCATGAGACTGTGGATGTAGCCGGTCCACCCGGCCATGACACTGCTACTAGGGCTGCTCTGGGGGCTGCTGCTTGGGAGGAAGAGAGCTCGGTTGCACTGCTGGCTGTGCAGCAGCCCTTGCTCTGCCACTTTGTTTCTCAGTTGTTTTACCTGGAGTGATTTACCTTCAGATGTGTGGCTATTTGTCTTCTGATTTTCTTTCTTTTTTTTTTTTAATTTTTAAAACTTTCTAAAATTTGTTAATTTCTTTTGCAAGGTTTATTACTTTTTGCAAGGTATTTATGGATCTTTTGTTCATTGTAATGGTATTAGAATACAAGATTCCAAGTTTAAGGTGCCTTGTTTTGTCAGTAGAGCAAAGGTCCAGTACTCTAGTAGATATGTTCATTGGTGGGAAGGGATATGGGCCCTGGAGACTAGGTGTTCTCTTGACTAGGGGCATTCTGCATTTCCTTCTTTGCTGCTCTACCCCTTTACAACTCTACTGGCAGAGTGGACTTCTCTTTCTCCCTTATTGCTTTATTTAGAAGCTGTATTTAAGTTTCTCTTTCAGAGCACTGTGACACATCTGTCCTCTCCTCGTAGCCCATGGTGGTTGCTCTTAGTGTTTTCGAATCCCAAGCTGACTTAAGAATTTTGGGGCTGGACTTAGATACACCTTTGACTTCCTTCCTAGCTTCCCTTGACTGTCCTCCTTGGACCTCGAAGTACTTCTTCCTTCTGTCTTTGCTCATCACCAAGCTTTCTGGAAGGTCAGGGTGGGGATGTTTGTTTGGCAGGAGCCATGGCTATGACAAAGTGGGATTTGGTGCTTTTCTCTTTTTATGTGAATTTATTTTGAAGTTGCATTATCATCTGTCTTCAAGTTAACCTGAACATATGGTTCTTACTTAGATTGTTTTCTTCTTGTTCTATATTGTTTTGGGAGAAATTTGGGCACTGTGTAGTCAGGCCATCATTAATGTCTACAGATTTTCTTTTTAAATTTTTTTTTCATATTTTATTTATTATTTTTATTTTATGTGTATCATGTATTGCCTGCATGTAGGTAAGTGCACCTGTGTCATGCAGTGCCCGTGGAGGACAGAAGAGGCTGTCGGATCTCCTGGAACTGGAGTTAGGAACAGTTGTTAACCACCATGTGGGTGCTGGGATTCGAACCGGGATCTTCTGCAAGAACAGCCAGTGTTCTTAACTGCTGAGCCATCTCTCCAGCCCCTAAATATTTGTTTTAAATTATATATATATTTTTTACTTTAAAAGAATAGGTTCAGCCAGGTGTGGTGGTGCACGCCTTTAATCCAAGCACTCAGGAGGCAGAGGCAGGCGGATCTCTGTGAGTTCAAGGCCAGCCTGGTCTACATAGTGAGTTCCAGGACAGCTGGAGCTACAGGGATACCCTGTCTCAAAAAGACCGAAAAAAAAAATAGGTAGTTATTTTTATTTTTTAAATGATATTTTTATCAGGGTCAATTCTTTTATTATTATTTTTTGTCCTTTTGAGACAGTGTTTGTCTATAGCCCCAGCTGGTCTGGAACTTGCTGTGTAGATCAGGCTGGCCTTGATCTCACAGAGATTTCCCTGTCTCTGCCTCCTGAGGAGTAGGAAAGGTGTGTGCCACCATGTCTGGTTCACGTTCAGTTCTTAATAGTGAAATTTTTATGGCAGTTTTGGATTTTTCCATAGAGATGCTAGGGAAAATGGTAACCTCAGAAAGCCTCATTGGAAAATAATTTGCAATAGATTCCAATTTGCATAAGTTGTATTAGACTTGTCATCTGCCTAATTAAGAAAGCATTTAATCATGACTCTCTCTTACAAAATTTTACTGTTTGGTAGATCTTTCCTCTGCCAAACAAAAGCTGAATACCAGTAAGATCCTTGGCATTTATTGATGTTACTTATTTATATTTGTTTTTAATGGAATTTAAGATTGGGCTTATTAGCTATGTTGAAATTGCATGCAACTTTATTTTACTTGGCATGTGGCGGTGGGATTGGGTTTTGCACATTCTTTCCCACCCAGGTATACACTCAGCCTCATTGGTGATGTTATTAACTTAAAAAAATACTAGATATGTTGCTCTCGTCCTCTCATGATAAAAGGACTTTAGATATGGAGAGAAAACCCCATTAATCTTTTGCTTTATGATATGTATTAATTTTGTAGGTGCCAAAGACCCTGGGATTATTAAAGATGCTAAATGTCAAGTTTTATACTCGCCAAGGACAAGAGCAGGTAATGTAAATTTGCTTAACTCTGTTTCTCAAACATTTATACCTTTTAGGTTAAAGTTGCATGAAGCTTGGACTAGTGAGACTTTTCATCACTGTAGCTAAATTCCAGATAAACAATGTCAAGAAGGGAAGATTTATTTTGTTGGAGTTTCAGAGATTTCAGTCCTTCTTTGCCTTGTGCATGGGGAAGCACAGCTGTCAGCTCAGGGCAGCTAGGAGGCAGGTGTAGTAACTTACCTGCTAGTAGATAAGAAGCAGAGAGGAGCAGTAACAGAGAGTGGCTAGTGTGAGATACATTCTCTAAGGACACTCAGTAACCTACTTCCTCCTACCAGGCCCCACCTGCCACAGTTCTACAACAATAGATTAAACCATTTATGAAGTCAGAGCTCCCATGATCTAATCATCTAATCATCTCTAGAAACACCCTCACTGACAGACCCCAGACTGTGCTTTAGCGACTTTCCAGGTGGTTCTCAATCTGATCAAGTTGACAGTCAGTTCCAACTGTCATAGACCTTGAATGCTCTTCTATATCTTCATCTGAGTGTACACACAATTATGTATAGTGGGGGTGTCCTCAATAGTAAGAATTATTAGAGTTACCCACTGAAAATTTATGTATGTTAGTATATATTAATCTTAAGAAAAATAATTTAAGGAGAATAACAGGGAATACAGTCCTCTTGGAGGATAAGGATATAGCCTAAACAGAAAATTCCAGAAGCATTCTATATATGCATTACTTTATTTATAATTTATATGTATTACTTAAAAATTGTAAGAAGTTCTTATTCTGACCCATTAGAGATCTTTTTTTGTGACTCAAAGTTAAAAAGAAAATTCTTCCTCAGATTGAAGATTATTGATGACCTAAGAGGAAATGAGTGACATTGATCTCTGTTTTCAAGTGTGATTGCTTTACTGCCTCATTGCTTGTTAGGAAAAGCATCACTCCACGACAGAGAACCAGACAATTTCATTTTGAATATAGGGCCTCTGAGGGAGGTGGGTACCTTGGCTGTCAATCCACAGTGAAGCATCAGATCAGATTCCTATCTTGGGAAGAATCAAATGACTTTATTTTTCCATTTCCTTATAAAACCCTTGGGAGACATGTGATAAGAATTCTGTTGCTACATTAGTATTAAATATATTTTACATTTTTAGTTCTAATTATTTCTTTGTCATTGACTTCACAGTAATGTATTCTGGGTAGGTTTGCCATTTTGTCTGCAGAGTTGAATAATAACAGTGCTCTCATGTCTATAAAGTCACTTTCATCTTTAATCCTATGAATATTTACACTGTTTCCAGTTGGCATTCTCTATAGTTATTTCATGGCATTTTCTTCAAGTTTCAGACAAAGAAATCTATGCTAGACCAAATGACTTGGCTTCTGTCTTGAAGTTTGTTTTTTTCTAAAATGCTGTGTTGCCTGTGTTGGCATTTCTGTTACCATGAACTTAACTTCACTTTCTCCCAGAATCTCCTTAATTTTCTCCTTAATGACAGCTAAATAATAGCTCTTTATCTTTAATAGATTTCCAAGTGTTCTTTATCATTTTTGTTCTGGTAACTATATTTAACAGAGAATGTAGAATTTTAGTATTAACGTTTTTCAGTCGGTCAGTAAGTATATACTTTAAGAGGTAGGCTTGGTGTTAGGGCTGAGAAAAAAATAGATAAATAAAATGCAGGGCATCTCCATAAGAACGTCTTAGTGTAATGGGAGACAGACCTAGAAAGCAGGGGAAAGCAGGTGTGATTTTTAAGGGTTAAAAATATTATTTTTATTTTATGTGTATGAGTGTATTACCTGCATGTAGATAGTTGCACTTGTGTCATGCAATGCCTGTGGAAACCAGAAGAGGGTGTCAGATTTCCCTGGAATTGGAGTTACATACAGTTGTTAGCTGCCATGTGGGTACTGGGAATCGAACCCAGGTCCTTGCAAGAGCAGCCAGTGCTCTTAATGGCTGAGCTATCTCTCCAGCCCCACTTTTATTGTTTTTGTCTCAGGTTGTTAACCATACTATTGAAGTTGACTGTCTCTTAATTTGGAAGATGTCTTCCTTTATTCTTCCTTTCCTTATTCTCTCCTTCCTTTTTTCTCTCTCTCCCCCCTTCTTTATTAAGCTTCTAAATTACAGTGGGCTGAACTCTGTATATTTTTTTAAAACCTTGGAATCAAACTGAAGTCTCATGCATTCTAGTCAAGGACTGCATCCCCAACTGCCATTAAGCTGACTGAGGGCAGGGATTTAATTTTGTTTACTGTTGACCCCCAGAGATTAAAACAGCACTTGGCAAGCCATGCATGATGGCTCATGCCTTTAATCCCAGTGCTCTGGAAGCAAAGGCAGGCAGATATCTGTGTTCAAGGCCAGCCTGGTCTACATAGTAAGTTTCAGGCCAGCTAGGGCTACATTTCTATTCACCAGTCAAAGACTTTCTTTTCCCCCTACAGATAAGAGTTATACAATTTGGGCCGGATGTGGTGGTGCATGCCTTTAATCCCAGCACTTGGGAGGCAGAAGCAGGGGGATCTCTGTGAGTTCAAGGCCAGCCTGGTCTACATAGTAAGTTTCAGGCCAGCTAGGGCTACAGGGCGACTTTGTCTCAAAAAGACCCCCCCCAGCACTTGGCATGTAGTATTTATTATTGAATATGTAATATTCAGTAAGTTCTGGAATATTGGTGGTGCTTCACTTAGGAAATTATATTTTATGGATCTGACATTTCTTTTTTTAAGATATCTAATAATTCAGAACATTGTGAATGTATGCAATAGAATTCATTACTTTCATTTTAGTGTAGCTTGTATAGGTGATGGGAATTAGTCATTTTTAGTTGTCTTGCATAGATGATAGGCAATTGAAACTGAGACAGATAGTGTAGGCTAATTTCAGTACAAAGCTCCATTTTACATTACAAAGGCCTCCTCTCTCAGATGAGGCAGATGGAAATTTCATTACAATATTGTAGAGAAGATATAACTCGTACTTTAAATATTGATACCAGTAGTAGCAAGCTTTAGTGTTTTTAATTAAGAAATAATCCAATGGACATTTGGACTAGTACTTTAATGTAAGCAGGAAGGTACATGAAATTGCATCAAGCACGTGTATGGTTTAATGAGTCTTGGGGATACCTTTATTGAAATCTTACACATCATCCACTTAAAGTGATTCACTGTTTCTTAGTACATTATTGTACAATTTAGTATAGAATTGTACAACTACCTCAATCATCTTAATTTTACAATTTTCTCACCTTGGAAAAGACCATGTACTGCTTAATCATCACTCCCAAAGGTGGGTGTAAATTTCAAAGAATTCCTAATCTATTAGGGCACAGCCCATAAAACTTTTTGGGAAACCATGATAATTGATCCAGGAATATTTTTACACCACTTGCATATTTAGGTTTTGGAGTTATATGTGAATTGTAACCCTCTAAAGTAGTCAATACCGTCTTCAGGTAGCAGTCCTGTTTCTACATGCTATAGCATGTATATCTGTAGTAATGTAATGTTGGTAGAATCCTTAATCACTAATCATTATAACATGGCAGCCCTAATGAGTACCATTTTAATTCGGAAAGGTGTTTCTGTTCATCTCCAAGTTCTTTGCTGTAACCTATGTATGGTTCCTATACAGGATGGAATCTTCAAGATGAGCCTTTCTCCAGACGGCAGTCTCCTTGCAGCCATTCACTTCTCAGGGAAGCTGAGCATCTGGGCCATTCCATCTCTGAAGCAACAAGGGGCCTGGAATCAAAATGAGCAGGTGTGTGTGTATGTTGGGATCGCTCTCAAGGGTGTTCTAACAGTACACATTTTGTCAATGTTTGTTCTAGTTACTCTATTGCTGTGATACAAACCCTGACCAAAGCCAACTTGGAGAGGAAAGGGTTTATTTGACTTATAGCACAGTTCATCAAGAGAAGTCAAGGCAGGAACTCAGGGCAGGAACTTTGAGGTGGTAGAGGAATGCTGCTTACTGGCTTGTTCCTGTAGCCTGTGCTTAGCCTGCTTTCTCATACAAGACAGGACCACCAGCTCAGGGGTGGCACTGATCCCATTGGACTGGGCCCTTCCACATCACTCAACAATAAAAAAAAAAAAATGCCCCCCAGACATGGCCACAGGCCAGGTGATAACTGCAGCTGTTCAGCACAGAGAAGTTTTTTCTTCTTCTTCTCCTTCTTTCTGCTTTCTTCTTCATTTATTCTCTTCATTCCAAACCCATCCTCATCTTATGTCAAATCATGATATCAAGTGATTTCAGTACAGTGGGGCGAGGACAAATTAAGAATAGAATAATACTGTGCATCAGTTTTAATTTGCTAAATGTAGCACACACTGTATACCAGGTGTAATTTCTGTAACTCTTCATTTATTTTCCTCTACTATTCAAAAAGTACAGAATGGAGATGTTAAAATTTCAGAAAAAAAATGTATTTAGAGAGTAAAAATCCTAAAAGGATTATAGTTCTTTCCAGAATCTTGCAAACTAGTTATGTCAGGCTGTAAGGGGAGCTACCTTCTTCTCACTGAAAGTCAATAGTACTGACAAAGAAAAAGATGGAGCATACTTATTTTTTAGTGTCTTTAGATAACAAATTTTAAGAATTATGTGATTTGCAGAAGAAGAGTGGAAAGATTGTAGGAGCCAGGGTTGGTGCATGAACATAAGGAAACAGACTTTCTGGGAAGTTGGTCATATGAACTTGCAGCAGTGGTGACAGCATGCACAAGAGTCATGCTGATTCAATCGGCAAAAATCCAGCATAGAACTAGGGAAATGGGCAGTAGGCCCCAACTTTAGCCTAGGAGCTGTTGACAGCTGATTTCTGCTGGATTAGAGGGAGTTGGTCTAGTGGATGAACTTGCACAGAAGAATATCTGGGTACAAAAACTTGACTAGTTAGACTTTAACGTATATGACAGAATGCATGAAATCAAGGTTGGGGGATATGACATTGGGGGTTGCAGATGGGGGAGGGGGTCTAAATATAATTAAAATTTATTGTATGAAATGCACAAAAGCTCAATAAAATATATAAAAAAGTATTATTTAGTATTGTTCTTTGGTAACAGGTAGACTCAACCATTTTAATTTATATTCACAAGGGAAATACAAATTAAAGTTATTTAAATTTATCAGGGGAAAGTCAGATGTCCTTATGGGAAGCATTGTGACAGAGTGGAGGTTTAAAGAAACATCTTGCCTCATCCAGATGTAGCTTATGTATACATCATTTGCATGGTTTATATTTTCACACTTTAAAAGTTGATTCTCTTTCTCTCATCTGCCTTCACCCACTGCTGTCCTGCAGGCCTTTCCAGCTTTGGTGATCGTTTTATGACTCTAAGGTCTGAATGGACAAAGTCATAATAATTAAGAGAGTGATTAATACTGACTGGGCATTTTCTTTTAATTTTTTAAATTGATTTTTGTGTATTTCATACAGAACATCTCAATCAATCTTAACCATCTTTATACCCTGTCCCCACTGGCACCCTCCCATAGATTCCCCCCCCCCACTGGAATTCATACATTCTGTCATTTGTGTTAAGGCCTGTTTTGTCACGTTAGTGTTCCCAGATGTTCCTCAGTGCAAGTTCATCTACTGAGGTCTAGTCAGCTTTACCAGAGTCCCTTGTTTTAGGAAAATCAGCTCTTCCTCAAACAGCAGTAATCAGTTGCCAATATTTCTTCAGCTAAGCATTTTCTTACTCTGTTCATAGGTTCAAATTATTTGTTGTAGCTACTTTTAAATTACTTTTTAAAGTTTATTTTAAAAAAAATATTTTTATTGATTCTTTGAGAATTCCATACAATGTATTTTAATTATATTCGTACTCGAGACAGGGTTTCCCTATGTAGTCGTGGCTGGCCTGGTACTCACTTCATAGTCCAGGCTGGACTTGAACTTGCTCTTATTGTTCTACCTCTGCTCCTGTGTGCTAGGATTATAGGCATGTGTCTCCACTTCCTGCCTGTTTCTCTCTCTCTCTCTCTCTCTCTCTCTCTCTCTCTCTCTCTCTCACACACACACACACACACAAAACACACATACATACACACATTTTTCTCTTATATGCAACATTAAGGAAATTTTTTTCTGTTTTACTGCCTGCTTTCCCTTACTTTAATATGGATTCCACATGTCTACCACTTGCTCTCACTTATTGTGGATACATTTTCAGTAACGAGATGCTTTACATCCTAAAAAACTGGAAGGCAAAATAATAAGGCGCTTTTCTTTCTTTCTGCTCTGAAATCATAGCTAAGTGGAGTGATCACTTCTCACAAATGTTATTCTTTTAACTGTGTGTATCAGACATAGGACTTCCACTGGGCTTCTTAGAACTGACTGGGGATGAGAATAGTTTAATCTTTATAACATATGTGTCCTATTATTTCTATTTCCTAAGGCACAATACAAAAGTCTATATTTTGTATTATTCAGATAGTTGATCCCCAGACACCATGTGTTTTTTCTGGTTGTCCATATGTGATGATAAAGTACTCAACTTCTTTCATTTAGGAAGCTTATGAATTTCTCTATATTTGAGAATTTACATTTGGTAATATCTTTTTAAATGGTGAAAATTTTGAATAACAAAGGCATTCCTGGTCTTCTGTTTTTTTAAATTAGATTAATTCACCTAATAGAAATATTGATCAGCTTCTGAAGCCCTCTTAATATTTCATTTAGAATCTGGAATGCGTAGTGTATGAGCTATTAATGGCAAAGTTGATTAACGTGCTCTTTTGTTTACTGAGATTCTGAAGGACCCTTTTTGGCCTTCAGAGATAAACTGCCACTTGTGTTCCTTCTTGGCATATGCTCATCATTAGTTGTCAATCAAAGCTGGTGTGATTAATTACTCTTTATTGTTATTCACTAATTAGATTTTATAGTAGGTTTGTTAAAAAATTAAAAAAAAATTGCTTACAAACCTTGAAACCTGGGAATGAGTAAGTATATTCATCTCAATAATCTTGAATACATATTCAAGTAAGACTGTGGGGCAGGAAAGATGGGCTTCTACAGTGCAAAGAGATGCACATGGGCAAGAAGAGGTGAGGTCAAGCTGCAGCTCTGTCTCCGTTGAGAAAGAGCCTTTTGAACAGAAATGCCTGAGCTTGTAGAAAGACAGGTTAGCAGCTTCTGTGCCTTGATTGCTGAGCATCCTGTAGCTCCAGTTCAGCACTCCCTCAACAGTCTTCAGGTGGAGCGTGTGTTTTATGTTACTGTATTATCAAAGGAGGAATGCAGCTTCATTCTCATGTGTATTGTATCCATTATTAAAATTTTACAAATGTGTAAGGTCATGTGCCAATTTCTTTGGTTTGGTTGGAATGAGTGGTTTCCTTTGATTGTTCAAGTAGACCAGAAATAATTGGCTCTTGGGTTCACTCAACTGGAAACCATGACCGGTTAGCCATCACTGTGGACAGTGTGCAGGTAGTGGTGTTCTCTGCTGAGGAACCATTGGCTTAGTTATAGTTACCTGGCCTAATCCTGCCTCAGTTGCCATCCCCACTGCTTCCCAGTGACACCAAACCCTTCCTTTGAATGCCACTGCTCACCCTGCAGAGGCTAGCTGGGTAAGCACACTCTGCCCCCTGAGAGTCCTGCTGGCGTTAGCTTCAAAAGAGATTTGGTTCATATTTGGAAACATTTGGTTTTTAAAACTCGTTTTTCTTTCATAAATCCTGATGCCAGAATGCAAACTTCTCTGTTTTTCTGTCATTTCTTCCAGTCTGGTCACTGCACAGTTTTGCTCCCCAGACTCTGCCTGCCTTTGTCTAAGCCTGAGGTTTCTTTCTGTGCAATTATCCCTGACCTGTATAACTTAACAGCATGGAGGTGCTGGGTATGGTGTTCCTGCAGCTTTTCCAAACTTTGCTCATTGTTACTCAGTGAACACTTGCTTTGTTCTAATCTATACAGTAAGTCAGCAGTAGGGATGATGCTTGTTCCTTCTCTCTGTGATGTCTGTGTAGGACAACAAACATTCAAAAAAAGAGGAAAGAAAAACTCATTTAGAGGCTAGTGAAGACCAGCATGTACAACAGACTTCCATCCTCACAATATTTGGCATGTCTTTATTCATAATATTCTGTTTGTGAAAGATCGTATGTGTAATAAATTAAGAAGATCAAAAGCACTCTTTCTGGTTATTCAGTTTTATGTCAGCTCTTTATTTGATAATCTTTAAAGCACAGAGATAAAGCCTTTTTCTTTGTGGATATCACGCAGATGTTCTCACACCTCCGTGAGATGTGCCTAACACTCACAAGTTAGTATATAAAAGGTACCAGAATAAATACTTGAGAATGCTTTTCCCTGTAAACTTTTAGCTTTGTTCTGGAAATCTAGAGGACCTTGATAATGTTGGGCACAAGGTCCAGATGGTAGCTTTCCCAGAAAGTTTGACCAACTGTATTTTGAGTCTTTAACTTGCATCACATTAAATTGTATATTTGAGATTAGTGTATGTGTTACCAAAATCGGGTGTTCTGTAGTAAATACAACAAGGCTTATATGGAATGTTTTATCAAATGGACTAGGTTGCGCCCATATTTATGATAACAACATTGTAAAATCATGAAGTTCAGCTATTTGTTGAATCTCTGCTGAACTCTACAGCAGGAAACGTGATAGTTTTCAGTCTCTGCCATAAGATATTCATAGTCTTGTAAGGAAAATTATAAAGAAAAGATTAACATAACATGTTCATATCATGAAAAGATAGACAAGCTCACAGAGGCATGTAATTCGCTTGTAGTGTTGGGGAATAGAACTGGAAATAAATTGGCACATTAAGGCTTGTTTTTTTTCCAAACAGTTTTGATATTTCAATTTGTCTCATGACTCTTAAATAAAAATGTTTTTAATCTGGACATGGTGGTGCATGCCCTTTAATCCCAGCACTTGGGAGGCAGAAGCTGGTGGATATCTGTGAGGTTGAGGCCAGCCAGGTCAGCTAGAGCTACAGGGAGTCCCTGTCTCAAAAAGACCAAAAAAAAAAAAAACAAAAACAAAAACATTTTTAATCTCCATTTTAATAGATGTGAAATAGTGCAAAAAGAAATTAACTTGAGATTACTATGTGTTAGAATCAGGATTCCATTTTGATTCAGGTTTTCTGACTTCATAAGTAAAACTTTTTAATAAATATGCCAATGCAAAAACGTAACTCACCTCAAAGGGGATAAGAGATAATTTATTCTGCAGCCAAATATGAGTGACCATAGCCTGGGAACACAGATTCAGGTTACCCCAGATCCCATGTTCCAACATGGTAACAGTTTCATGAAGTTTTTATAGTAACAGAACAAAGAAAAGACTTTAATCAAGACACGTTTCAGATACATTGATGGAAACATTAAGTAGGCAGATAAAACAAAAGAGAATCTCAGCTATAGGCCTCAGATGCTATCTGATGACACTCAATCTTTTGGTTGATGGAAGCCTGGTAGTCTGCTAAGTTAATACATTCCTAAAGATTTTTATCTGTTAGTCACGGGTGTTAAGTCAGAAACAAAGGTGGGCAAGGAGTAGCTATTTAGGGGGCTAAAGATGGCCCAAGATAAATGGTAATTCGGCTCTGGACCTGCACCTCCAGAGTCTTTGCAATTGCTGAAGTTCTAATCAGTTGATCAGCCTTTGTAGAATATTCAGTTTCAAGATGCAGGTTTTCTGGGAACTTTTGTTCACATTTACTAACAGTTTACATTTAGAAGTGGTCACTTTTATCTTGGCAAATGAGGCACTCGAATCTAAGATTGCTGATACTCAAGGAAGGCACACCACCTTGAAGTTTATCAGACTTACATTCATTATGCAGAGACCTTAAAATGGTGCAAATGCTGTAGCTATCAGGAGAGACACAGTACTATCATTTACCAGATATATAATAAGTATCTGTGTGTGCTCATCACTCGAGTTCCTTTAATAAAGAGAAATCCTAAGTTCTGTAAAATTCTTGGACAACTGCACCTTTCTCATTCCTCTAGCAGTAATCTCGTGAGCCTGTTCCAACAGGTAGGGCACAGCTTTGCTTCACTGTAGTTATCCTAGGAAATGTATGGGCAGACCAGTGAATCTATAATAAATTCAATGGTAATATGTTACATAGTCAGCTAATAATTTAGCTCAATGGTTGTCTGAGAAGAAACTGATGTTGCTATTGCCCTGCACTCCTTTAAAGTTCTTTATCAAAATTGTACATTCAGCTCATTTAGGGCTTTTTTTTTGGACAACTTACTACTGTATTAGTTTTTATAATGTACTGTGTTTGATCGAGCATTTTCCCTGTGAAGACTAATGATTAGAGGTGGTTATGGAAGTGCCTATTCTGATTTGCTTCTATCCAGTTTGAGTTGATTAAATACTTTGGCTTTCATGTCAGTGTGGAAATCCATCTGGCTAGAAATCTGTGTGTTCAATTCATTCATGTCTGGAATCGAGTAAAAATGTTTCAGTGATTTTCATTTCACACATTTCCCATATGTTATGTTTATATCTTTCCATCTAATTTTTGGCCTTAATTTTTCTCTGAAGTTTTATTATTTTCTGACTTGTACTTCTGTAGATGTAGGAAATGAAATAGAAGCTTATCTTTTCCATTTTAATTTAATTTTTCTCTTTGATACATAGTAGGTGTTAGACTAATTTTGTTAAATGATGAATCAATGAAGGACAAGTGGGAAGATGGCAGTTTATGTGATTAATCTTGGTAGAATCCACAGCTGTTTTCACAGCTTGAGTAAACTGTGAGCTCTTTGAGAATCAGCACTGAATATATATTTTACCCACAGACTCTGCTATAGGCCTCGCATATTAAATACTAATAAATATCTGTGTAATGAATAAACATTTGAAATATTGCTGTTGTACTATTTAAAGGCTGAGATTTATTTCGATTCTAGTGTGACAAAATCAGCAAATAAAATCCTTACATCAAAGAAAACATTGTTTTAGTTAGTTATGGCTACTAAGCTTAGTATTATACAAAAAGACTTATAACCATGTTCTTAGAAGAGCATCCTTCCTCTGGGCTGGAGAGATGACTCAGTGGTTAAGAACACTGACTGCTCTTTCAGAGGACCTGGGTTCGAATCCTAGCACCCATATGGCAGCTGACAACCATCCATAACTCCAGGGGATCTGACACCTTCTTCTGACCTCTGTGGGCATTACACAACATATATATATATATATATATATGAAGAGCATCCTTCTTTGGGCTGCTGCTGTACTATTAAGTGCTGCCACATTTGGCTTTTTGCAGACACATAGCAGCAAGAATATTGGGGCAGAAAGGTGAAATTCCTTCCCTCACTGGTTTACGTAAGGGTTACAGCAAACAATCCTATAATAAAACACAAGTTAATACGCGTGTGACACATTTAATAAGTAAATGATTTTCTCCTGCAGACCTCTATTTGGAAAGAAAAAAAAATCCTTACTATTCTCAATCAGGCACTGCAAGTAGATTCATGAGAGCTCTGTCTTCCTTTAAAAAAAAATTGTCTTTTTTGATATTTTTGTTAGTGGCTCCAAGACCTCATTCACAGGTTTCAGAGTAGGTGATTTTCTCTCCTGCCCCATGTTGGGCACCAGAAACTGTAGGAGTAGAATATGGGTGACAGCTGGAATTCCTATAACAGAAACAGGCTGACAAAAGGCAAGTGTAATCAATTTGTGTAATCAGGGTTTATGACATACAGGAGACTTCAGAAATGAAGATCCAAAGACTCATGGACTATTATTTGTTTTGATGAAAAAATGGACAGCTGTGCAGAAATGTGATTGAAAAAATTATGATCTGATAATAGTAGGCTACCTGGTACCTCAGCAAAGCCTCTCTGGGCAGTTTTTTTTTTTTGCTTTTCTGCCAGCATCTTCTACCCAGTGTTGTATGTGGCTGAACCACAACAGAGAATCATCAAAGGTGAAGGGAGAGAGAACCTTTCTAGGGTTTATGGCTTTCTTTAGAGTTGGGAGTTCTAATTTCTATGATAAATTTATGGTAGAGGGATTCCGTTTTCTGTGAGTTGCTCCTGGAAAGAATGAAGGGCTGAAGATGGGAGGTTGGGAGAAGGTCAGAGAGACATTGCTTCTGAGACTGTGCACAGGTCCTACAGTTCATAGGATTCACCAATGAAAAGAAAATTGCTCCTTGAACTGTATCCATATATTTCCAAGAGCAAGTGGCTTGGGGTGTCCTTCTTGGGGGTTGTGAGGTGCTGCTGCACTCAGTACATCCGTCTGCCTAACTTAGAAGGCAAGGCTTAGAGTGTACCCAGGCCATGGTTTTCTATCAGCAGCATAGCTACTACCTGCTAGTGTGGGACATGTATATCGAATGAGCTCCTAGTCTGGCTAGCTTTCTTTACATGATCTGCTTTCTGTCTTGTCTTTTTTATGCATGCAGATTCCTCTATAAAACTGAGTCACACATTTACTTTTCCATCTTACTATGGTGAAGAAGAAGACTTTGTTAGGTGTAACACACAGACCAAGGGAAGGCATTGTTTCTCTGTTTTCTTATTTAAAAAGTTTCACAGATCTTGGGGCTGGAGAGATGGCTCTGCGGTCAAGAACACTGGCTGTTCTTGCAGAAGACCCAGGTTTGAATCCCAGCACCCACATGACAGCTAACAACTGTCTGTAACTCTAGTTCCAGGGGATCTGATAGCCTCTTCTGTCCTCTGCAGGCACTGCACAACACGGGTGCACTTACCTACGTTCAGGCAATACATGCATACACATAAAATAAAAAATAATAAATATTAAAAAAAAGTTTCACAGATCTTGATGAGTTTCTTACATTTTCTCACATTTGACTCAATAAATTATGTGCATATTTTCATATTTAGCCAGGCTATGATGACCTTAATCCTGACTGGAGGTTGTCTCCTGAGAAGAGAAAGAAAATGAAAGGTAAGTTGTAAAAATTATGACATTACAACTTTATGAAACACCTCTTGTTATGTAAGGTATTCTTTAGATGATATAAAAATACAGAGAATCTTTATACGCCTTTGTTTCATCCTTGAAGAACCTCTTACGGTGTTACAGAATGGCAGTACAGCAGCAGATGGAGTGTTTTGTTTTGCTTTGTTTGTTGTGCAGGCGGTAGGTTTTCTTTCTCTTTTTAAAAATTTTCATTCATTTCCATAGTTTCTGTTATCTTTTTCTGAAGGTTTCATTTTCTTTCCAAAGTTCTGAAACACATTTCCTACCTTCTCTTATCATTGCTAACTTTCTTATACATGTCTGGAATTGTTTGATTTCATTAATTTGCTTGTTTTGCTTTGCCTTGGAGGTCTAAAAACAGTAAAAAGAAAATAGAGAAACAAAAGGAAAGATGACATATTGAAGTGGCTTCTTCTTAAATGGGAATCTATCAGGTAGAGGGTGAGACCAGTAGAAGTTGGAGATTTTCATCTTTTCTACCATTTAGGCCGTGGCTGTACCTGGGCTAGTCAAGTTTCAGGTATTTGCAAGTGCTTTAAGTTCTCCTTCCTTTTGAAGAGTTCCTTCTTTGCATACCAGGAACCTCTGTGGGCCACACTTGGCTTTGTAACCCGTGACTAGAGAGGTTCTCCCATGTTCTTGAGGCTCCCAGTTCATACACCTAGGGTGGCTAAAGTTCTAGTCCCCTGGTGTCTCTCAGTGTGCTGTGAGTGCAGAAAGCAAACACAGTATTGAGATCTGTACAAACAGACTAGTCTCTGTAACTACAAACAGACTAGTCTCTGTAACTTTCAAAGCCCACTCAACATTAGACACCCTCCTGGAGGGATGAGGCTATAGAAATCAGGTCCTTTGCTGGAATATCAGTTTGCAGACCTAAGCCTTAAGACTTTCATATTCTGCTGTTATCATTAGGTGGTGAGTTCATCTTCCAATCCCTAAGGATGGGGGCAACTGCCTATTGTACCTTCAGTGCTGAAGCAGAGCATCCTGTCACCTGGTTTCTGGTGTGTTGGCATCTGGACCTCCCATTTGCTATAGTCTGCCTTCTCTGACTGTCTCCTATCTTGGGACTGTCTTAACTTGCCTTCTGGTTTCCTGACTTATGATTGTTCTTTGTCTATTTATTTTTTAAAATATTTTATTATTTTTTATTTTATTTTATTTTATGTGTATGTGTGTAGGAAACATGGCTCTGCAGTTTAAGAACATTTGCTGCTCTTGTAGAGGACTCAAGTTCAGTCTGAGTTCAGTTCCCAGTGTGCAGTGCCTGTAGACGACAGAAGAGGCCATTAGATCCCCTGGAACTGGAGTTATAGACAGTTGTCAGCTGCCACGTGGGTGCTGGGATTTGAACCCAGGTCTTCTGCAAGAACAGCCAGTGTTCTTAACTGCTGAGCCATCTCTTCAGCCTCAATTGCTCCTTATTTAAATTTTAGATTTTCATTACAGATATTTTCTTTTAAACTTATTTATTTATTTTTATTTTATGTGTATGAGTGTTTTGCCTACATGTATGTAAGTATACCCCTGTCCTGGAATGCCTTTGGAGGACAGAAGAGGGTGTCGGATCCCCTAGACCTGGAGCTAAGGACAGTTGTTAGCTGCCATCTGGGTGCTGGGAACCAAGTCTAGGTCCTCTGCAAGAGCAGCCAGTGCTCTTAATCGCTGAGCCATCTCTCCAGCCTCCCATTAATGATATATTCAAAAATTTCCCCTTTTTGCCTCCCTGCTCTATCTTTTTTCTAGTGTCCTTTGAAGGGTAGGCAAGAACTTTCCCACTGGTACGTATTCCCAGTCCCAGAATCAGTTTTGTTTAGTTGAAACATGAAGGTTAGAGGTTCTTGAGTTTTTAAATATATCCTACAAAGTCACTGATAGTGAAAAGTTTCCAAATCTTTACTTTGTGTGCTTTTAATTAACATTTAAAGAATATTGAAATATTCAATGATATCATATATAACATATCCTGGGCATTGAATTATCTGTTTTTGTTAAATAGTCATTCCAAATACTCAGGAATAATTTTGCTACTTGCCAAAGCAGAATTGAGGATGTGATTTAAATGAGCTGGTCCTCTTCCTTCCCATTTGTGGGGATATCAGCCCCCAGATGTAGGTGTGTTTCTAGAAGTTCCTGATTTATACTAATTGCCTTATAATCTTTGTTTTTATTAAAATAATGAGTATTTTTTTCATTATGCCCAACTCTAAGCATAGTTCCTTTTTGAGTTTAAGAATGTTTTAAAATTGGGGCTGGAGAGATGGCTCAGTGGTTAAGTACACTGTTCTTGCACAAGACCCAGGTTCGAATCCCAGCACCCACATAGCAGCTAACAGCTCTTCATAACTCCAGTCCCAGAGGATCTGACAGCCTCTTCTGTCCTCCACGGCCATTGCACGACACGGGTGCACTTACCTACATGCAGACAATACATGCATTCACATATAATAAAAATAATAAATAAAATTAAAAAAAAGAATGCAGGCAGAGCTCTGAGTTGAAAGACTCTAAAGAACGATACATCACTGCCGCATTAAGTGTGAGTGAGCCGCCCTGGGACTGCAGCTATGCACGTTCACCTTCATGTTCTAGTGACTAATTTGACTTCACTTGGTTTTCTTAACGAAATTTGCATTTAATTTCTGTGTTGATATTTTTATTTCTGTCTTCCATTGACTTTATGTAGTTCTAGAAGTAACACATAAACTCTTTATAAAACAAAATATCATGGCATTTCCTTTAAAAATCTCTCAGTTTCCTGAGCCATAATTCATTTTAATATCAAAATTCTTTATTGCTCTTGAATGTTTTTTTTTTTCCTCTGTTAGTTAAATGTTTTAGATTGTGTCAGCCCTGGAAGCTATTATTTGTCTGTCTACTATGTTTTTTAAAGGGTGTAATTCTCAGTGTTTGTCTGGAAATGATAGACATACATATTCTAACACCTTTTAGACACACATTTTATATGTGTGACTTATACACGTCTCCCTTTCATTACTATGCTGAACTGTTTATATTTCTTTCTTGAGTAGATAATTAGGTTTTTGACAAGATTCCCCCCCCCCCCCCATTGGGACTCTAACCCAGAGTCTTACAAATGCTAAACATGTGCTTTACCATTGAGCTCCATTGCCAGCTGTTTTGAAATTTCATATTTTGAAAAGAAGGACCTTAATTTATTTACTTCTGTATCCCCAGAGTTTTAGACTTTAATAGATTATTGCCATTTAGATATTCCTTAAATGAATACTATACCACTTTGTACCTTTTACCTGGGTAAAAATTTGAGTGATGACTTCAATTTTTTAATTGTTTGAGATACCTTTGGGACCCAAATAATATGAAATAACTTAGATATTAAAATATTTCATTAAACTACTTTTGTATATTTATTTGCGTTTTCTTTTCCCCATTAGATAAAGAGTTTTTTTACCCGCTTACTGACATCAGTTGGTGGGCTGAAGGTGCTGTGACCTTGGCTCGGTGCTCTGGTGCATTAACTGTTTCGTCTGCGAAAACTTTGAAAAATTTACTGGGAAAATCCTGTGAATGGTTTGAGCCATCACCTCAAGTCACGGCTGCCCATGATGGAGGATTCTTAAGTTTGGAGGTTAGGCTTTTCCCTTTGAGAGTAGACATGCATTTTAGTAAAAATTTCAATATCTGGCTTTTTTATTTCTGTCTCTGTGATCTATTCCTGTGTTTAAACACAGAAATCTCTTAATGCAGTAGAATATTGAGTATAATATAAAAGAATTCCATTATTCAGTGAATCAAAAGCATTGCATTGTTATGGGAACAAAGAAAATTTATAGCTATTTTGCTTCCTATAAAACGTTTCGTCTTTGCTGGACATGGTAGATTTTTCTTTTTTCTAGATGGGTCATTTAAAAATTTAGAACGATGTCATTACCTCGTGGTTAGGAAGTACTTGGTGTTTATATTATCTCTTGAAAGTGTGCCAACTTAAATTTTATTTTTATTGTTTTAGGAAAAACTTATTTACCATGATGAAAGATTGGAAAATAAAGACTAGTTCTTTATAGCTATGTTTTGGTCATTTAGCATTCTTATTTTATGTCTTTCAAGAGTACAGTCTTCAATAGCTTTTACTTCTGCAGTGTATATTGACAAATACTTTTTGGTCTGAAGTTTATCACCCAGTCAAGAAATGTTTAAAGAGCACCATGGTTTAAACTCCAAGCCAATTCTGTTAAGTCTGGAATGAAAGTTATCTTTAGCAGCCAGGCGTTCGGCTGCAGTCCTTGGTCAAGCTGGTAGGTGTTTTAGAAGGCACATCAGAAGGCTATTCCAGGCAAAGGGCAGAAGTGCCTTCATGTTTGTTTTTGTTTTTTCACAACATGTATAGAATACCAAAAGTAAAAGAAATTCACATTCTGAACTTCTTTCTCTAAAATAATTATAGACATGTATTTATAAGACCATGTTAATGACCTGTTGTTAAAGTCAGCTTTAGTTTTAAAGATTTGGAGACAACATGAATGTGTATATCTTAGATCTTTGATTTCTGTAGTGCTGTTTGTGTTCTTTCAATTCCATTGTGAATGACATAAAATGAATCAAACCAGAATAGAACTAAACATGTACTTTTTTCATTAACTCTTAAAAACTTTTTAATTGCTTACCATTAATTTTATATCTCTCTTTTCAATTTAGTGTGAGATTAAACTTGCTCCCAAACGATCTCGTTTAGAGATGAGGGCTGGAGAAGAAGATGAAGAAGAAGATTCTGACTCTGATCATGAAACATCTGCTAAGGCTCGCTATTTTGGTTACATCAAACAAGGCCTTTACTTAGTGACTGAGATGGAGCGGTTCGCACCTCCACGTAAATGGCCACGAACCATCACTAAAAACTACCGCCTTGTGAGTTTGCGCTCCACAACTCCAGAAGAGCTTTATCATAGAAAGGTGAGTATGTCCTGTAATGACCAAAGCAGGGAGGCATCAAGTTTTTATTTTATTGGAAAACAGCTAATATTTCAATACAAGAAGACATTCAAATAGGACTTGTTGGATCATCGCTATGTCAGAAATATCGGTACTATAAAGCTTTTAAAATAATGCCAGTCTTTCCATCTGAGTAATAAAATTCAAAACAGTGGATAAAAGAGGAATTCAGAGACTGGAGAGATGGTTCAAACATAAAGCACTTACGTAAGCATGAGGATCAGAGTTCAGATCCCCAGCACCCATGTGAATGCTGGATGGGCATGGCATCTGCCTCAAGAGGCAGATATAGGGTAACTGCAGAGCAGTTAGGTAGACTACCTGAATTGGTATGCTCTGAGTTCAAGTGAGAGACCCTGCCTCTATAGGTAAGGTGGAAAGTAATTGAGGAAGGCACTTGACATCGACCTCTGGGCTCCACATGTGTGCATACACTTGAAAACGTGTATGCACAATATATGCATATAACATGCAATACACATGCAAAATAAAAAAGAGACAAAACCCCCCAAAACAGAACAAACCCAGTTCGCAATGCCTGGTTATCTCTGTTGTGGCCTAGCTAGTTTTTAAAATAAATTGTTACATTTATTTATTTACTCTGTGTGTGTGTGTGTATGTGTGTGTATACTATGGTGCACATTTAAAGGTCAGAATACAACTTGCAGGAATCAGTTCTCCCTCTATCTTGTGGGTTCCAGGGATCAGACTCAGATTGTCAGGCTTTGTAACAGTACCTTTACCTACTGAACCATCTTGCCCATCCTAGTCTCGGCTTTTGCTACCTGCTGCAATCCTTCAGTCATCTCCCTTACCTGTATTTGCACACAGCTGTCTACTCACACCACAGATGGTGAGAGAAGCATTTGGCCACTTGTAACCAACACTGCCTGTTAGAGTAACGTAAGTTCCTTTCTGGCAGTTCTGTGAGAGGAATCCTGGACCTGGAGTAAAGCTGTGGTATTGCTTCTGGTCCCAGTTCTGCCATTGTTTGACTGTATTAGAAGGATTTTTCACTAACATTATTGAAGTGCTTAAAGAATTCCTGGTTTATCCGCTCTTAAGATGTCTGTGAGCTTCTAATGCCACTGTATACATGCATTCATAACTTGATGCGTAGGCCCAAGGGATTCTCTCTGTTCTTCCTGTAATCATGGTAGCTTTATAGGTAATTCGTATCTGTTTCCTTGACAAAGATTGAAAGTGAAGAGTACGAGAAAGCTTTGTCTTTGGCTTATACCTACGGCCTGGATACTGACCTTGTCTATCAGAGGCAGTGGAGGAAGTCGGCTGTCAACATTGCTTCAATTCAGAATTACTTGGTATGTGTAGTTTTGATAACATGATAAAATTCATATGCGTGATTTTCTTTGTTTATATAGTACTTCACATTACTAATTTTTTTTACAGGTAAGAAAGTAGTTTTTTCACTTGAAAAAATTGTCAGAGTCTCTTGCCTCTAGCATTGGACTTTGGTGATAAGACATTTGAATATAGCCGAGTGAGGCAGCTCATGCCTTTAATCCCTGTGCTTGGGAGGCAGAGACAGGTGGATCTCTGTGAGTTCAAGACCAGGCTGGTATACAAACAAACGCTATTTGAATATACAGTCTCTGATAAACCAGCCACCTATCTGAGTCTTTATAGTATCTCTCTTCACCCATATTAGTCAGGGTCTACGTAAGAGCCATCAGGAAAGTTTCAATCAGGAGAATTGCTTTTCTGGTAGCCAGAGATTAATTATAAAAGGGAAAAGAGAGCTGGGTGTGGTGGTGCACGCCTTTAATCCCAGCACTTGGGAGGCAGAGTCAGGCAGATATCCCTGAGTTCGAGGCCAGCTTGGTTTCCATAGTGAATCCAGGCCAGCTGGGGCTACAGGGAGACCCTGTCTCAAAAAGTCCAAAAAGAAAAGAAAAAAAAAGGGAAAAGATAGCTTGAAGGAACACCTTTAGACTGAAGGGATTGCATTTGGGAGGGAGGCCTCCCCCTTTCTCTTGGGGCTGGTATTTGGGCATTGTTTGACAAGGAGTAGTTAGAGCAAATTGAATGGAAGAGAAGTTCTGAGGGTTGTTTTTGGACCAGGGCTTGTTCACAGTTGTCTAGGTCAGAGATGGAGAGGGAAGTTGAAAGTCTGCTAGGATGCCGGTAAACTGAGGTTGTGGGTCAGAAAACCTGAGTACTAGCAAGGAAACCTTCCAGAAGCAGCATACAGCTCAAGTTTTTTAGGTAAATAGAAATTCATAGCTAGGTTTGGCAAGAAAAACTCCCTTGCAGGACATCCAGTCAGGGAAACATCCCACTCAGGTGCCTGGGAGATTTGCTGGGAAGGAATTTGCCCACAGAAGTATCATACTCAATGGGAAATTGTTGTGGCAGTAGGAAAGGTAAAGTACCATTGGATGTGTCCCTTCTTTCCCTAACGCCTCCTCTGTGCCCCAGGCCTTGCTGGTTGCCAAGCCAGAGTAGCAAGGAGAACAGAACCAAAGCACATAGGACCAGAATCTCTTCCTTTGTAGTGGCCTTTCAGAGCCCTCTGTTGACAAAGCTTGATACTGTCAGGTAAAGTTAAGAAATGCTATCACATGGCCAGCCTGGAGAGGAAATTTGGAGCTTAGAGGGAATAAATGGATTAACTAGGGACTGGAGAGCACTGGCTGCTCTTGCAGAGGACCTGGGTTTAGTTCCCAGCACCCACATGGCAGCTAACAACCATCTCTAACTCCAGTTCCAGGGGATCCAATGCCCTTTTCTGACCTCTATGGGCATTGCATGACTTGGGTGCACTTAACGTACACGTAAGTAATACACTCATACACATAAAAGTAATAAAATATTTTTTAAAAATGGGTAACTGCTACCTGGCATTGTTTCTTGTTATGTAGCCTTTAGCTATACATATGGACTCTTAAAAAATTATATTGGCCCCTTTTGGGTGTTTAAGGCCATACAGTTGGCCCAGATAAACCAATTTATTTTTACTCTTAAGGCCATTTGAGGATGTGTTCCTCAGGGGTCACATGGGCTTGGGAGGAGCCTTCTTTCTTTTACCAGTTCCATCTATATGAAGATAAGTCAGAGGTCCTGCTTGACCATGGTTGGCTTTGCTTGGAAGCATGGAGGAAATGTTCCCTTCTTTTGAGTTGTTGGCCAGGGTGGCCCAAGAGACTCCCAGATAGTAACCCAGCATAAAATTGGGAAAATGAACAGCAGACCCCAGTATTGACAACTGATTGCTGCTAGATGAGGAACAGCTGACCTTCCTAAAACAAAGACCTCTAGATAGGCTGACTCGATTCACCGGATGAACAAGTACTGGGACATGGCTGGGGGTGCCAACACCACAGCAGAGAGTAGCAGGGAAGACAGAGTAAAAGGGCTCTAGTGGGGTGGGGAAGGCTATGGGAGGGTGCCATCTGGGAAGTGGGTATATAGATAAATAAGATTG